AATAATAATAATAATAATAATAATAATAATAATAAAGCAATAATAATAATAATTATAATTATAATTATAATTATATAATAATAATTATAATAATAAATAGGCGTATTGTAATAAATTTAAAATATTATAATAATTGTTTTATTGCACTATTTAGAGCAAATTGTTCAAATTGGATACGAAACTCGTTGACGAACCTTTGATGTATCACGTCAGTTTAATTACTACAGCAGAACAGAAGAATTTCTTTGATTTACTTCACTTCTCTCCGTTGAAGGTCCGTTACTTTATACTGTGCGTCAATAGTAATAATATTCCTGTAATCGATGTTATCTTTTCTTCAGATTCATATAAGTTTCTCAATGAGTGGTAGTGGTAGCGGAGCCTCTGCACTACCTCAAGTGCTAAATGTGTTGCTACAAGGAATAGGTGTTACGTTAACTGATATCAACGACATTGTATTCAAGTAATTCTTTTATATAGTATTATTATATGACTAGGAAGTAACAGTAATCGGATAGAAGACATTCTGTAGAATACATTTCTATTTTCTCCGGCAGATTAGCGTATTTCGAAAGAGAGTATACCTTCATGACCAATAAACAGCTTATTTCCGAAGCAACGACACACTATGTAGGACAGGCAATTAAGCAAGCTTATGTTCTCGTTTTGGGACTGGACGTAATAGGGAATCCATACGGTCTAGTGGTAGGTACTATGAAAGGCATTGAAGATTTGTTTTACGAACCTTTCCAAGGTGCGATACAAGGGCCTGGAGAGTTTGCGGAAGGTTTGCTTCTTGGTATGAGAAGCATGCTAGGTCATACTGTTGGAGGAATGGCTGGAGCTGTTTCTAAAATTACAGGAGCCATGGGTATGTTTGACTTTTTGTCTCGTTACTTATTCTGTTTCTTATTTTGAGCATCGCTATGTCTACCCTTAAATTTGTATATTATGTATTTTTACAATTTTATGTCCGTTTAGGTAAAGGTATAGCTGCTTTAACGTTTGATAAAGATTACCAGAGGAAACGACAAGAACAACTTAACAAACAGCCATCTAACTTGCAAGAAGGTCTTGCTCGTAGTGGCAAAGGTTTGGTAATGGTAAGCGAAAATAAGGAATACAAATTATAACGATTTTTACTTGCTTTATTAAGATAATAAACGGATAATTGTATCGTTACGTGATATGAATTAGGGTGTTGTTGACGGTGTAACTGGCGTTGTATTGAAACCTATATCGGGTGCCAAAGAAGAAGGTGTGGAAGGATTCTTCAAGGGAGTTGGGAAAGGTATGGTTGGTCTCGTTACCAGACCAACTGCTGGAGTTATAGATTTTGCTAGTGGTTCGTTCGGTGCAGTGAAACGGTAAAAAGAAATACATTATTCTTGTAAACCTGAATATTATGTAGTTATAATCGACATAGAATCACAGCGAAAGTGAATACTTGAGATTACTTATTCGTTTTTAGTGCAACTGAGTTGAACGAAGAAGTAAAGAAAGTGAGGCCACCTAGATTTTTACAACCAGACTGCTTGGTTAGACCGTATGTTCGAGACGAAGCCGAGGGGCATAAAATCTTATGCGTGAGTACATACTCGGTATTGATTTCATTTAATATCAAGTAATATTTATTTAAATTATTTTTTTACAGGAATTGGAAAAAGGAAAATACGCGAATACTGATATATATTTCTATCATGTGTATATTAACAGAGATGTACTACTACTGACTGATAAGAGGATATCGTATTTGGAGCACAGTGACTTATTTGGAGGATGGCGAGTCAGTACATTTTTACGAACACTATACTTCTTTCTTCAATTAGATTTAGTGAATTAGCCTTAAAGAAATTAAATATTTTACTGTCTTTTACTGTCTTCGATGATACAGGTGCAGTGGACTCATACGTGGCAAGAGATGAACGAACAACCGAAATTAGTTGACAGGGGAATTCAGATATTTATTAAAGATTCTAGTAGGAAGAAGAAATTGGGAAACCTATTTGGTAGTGCAGATCAATCAAAAATAATTTTAATACACGATTACAATATAAGACAGGTATGTTATCTGATTTAACATTAGTATCGTTTTTTGCATTTAAAAAATAATTATATTCTTTTAATTATTTAAAAAAACTAAGAAATATATTTTTGTAATCTTCCCAGCTTTTGTGCAACAAAATGCAACAACAAATTAATCAGTGCGGATTGTAATGCCAGAAAATTATGATGGATGGATACGCGCAAACATACTTTAATATTAGAAAACAGTTAATTGAACAGTTGATCGAATTGATCTGATCGATTAATTGAATTGATAGTGTCTGGCCTCCATAAATTTTCATTAGCTTCGCAAGCTGAATTTCATAAACATTATGATAGAGTTTTTTCACAACAAATACCATTAATTAAGACTGATGCTTTGTCAGAGACAACTATTTATAATAATTTATCTACGATTCATCATCGTTTTTGTCAGTTTGTGTCAGCCAGTTTGTAATTTTATAAGTTGTTATAATGTTAGTAAAATATCTTGTGCTTTCATTATATACAATTAATCTAAATAACAATAACTGACACGCCCAGTATAATTTGCTTTAAAGTTTACCACGTATGGAACAAACGAGGCATGCGTAAAAATAGTTTAACTAAAATTCTTATCAGTTTGAAACTTGTTCTTGTAAGGTACAGAATATATTAATCTGATTGATTTCATGTGAAAAGTCACAGTTAAAGATCAATATAGAGACCTACGCTATAGTTTTACAACGATTTAAAGAAGGATGCAAATTAGTTTCAACTTGAATATTTTCTCTACTCGGATAGGTCCTTGTCTGTCTTTTAAAATATCTCTCGTTAATGTAATATACTTGATATTCTAAAAAATTGCCATCACGTGACAATATTACGTTTTTGTACCGTTTAATAATATAGGTTTAATAATTATTTACTATATACACATACACGTATAAATGGAATTTTAAGCGCACATCTTACGTTCAAGTAACTTCTGTACCTGTATAACGTATACATACAGGATGTTTCCAAAGTCGCATAATTTTCTGAAACATACGCAAAAATATATTTTCGTCTTTTAAATACGTATTCTTAAAATTTTATACGCACGTAAAAGTCATCAACTAGTTTTCATATGAAACACTGTTCCATACTTGTACAACTTTTCATTTGAATTATGCATTGTACAAGATATTCTGTTGGAAACACTCTGTATGTGTATGGATAGTATATAGCTTTTGTGACGTTGAGAGATTGTTCGGTTAATTTAAAAAAATGAAAATAAAAAAGAAAAGAAGGAGAAAGGTTTGAAAACGGCACGCTACACTTTTTACAGCTTATAAAATATACATTACTGTATAATTGTAATTAAACTTAACAAATGATTATAGATTATGTTATTGTTAAAAATTATATTATATAACAAAGATTATAGATTACGTTGTTGTTAAAGAAAGTTGTATATCACTTGTACGAACAAATTGTATCGTCGTAAGAAAATTAAAATAACTTCCGCTTTCTACGTCCTTCTTTTATCTTGATTCTTACTATCACACTGTTTAATGTGTGCGATGAGCATATGCGTACAGGTACACATTTACTGCTACAGGTTCAAAAATTTGATTTGTTTGCATCGCGTTGTGCATTCATTTGTCTATGAATTAATTTGACATTTTACGTGTGCGTATAATGTTTCTGTATCAATGTTTTGCATTTAAACAAGATTAAGAAGCAACCAACTTCTTTGTAGGTACAAATCTGTACGTACTCAATTTTTGTTGTAACATATTTGTGTATAGAAAAGAAGAGTGGAGTTTCATACATACAGATGCGTTTATTTGTAGCATATATGTATTAATTATTAATTGAAATATTCATTAGTACATCGTCGCTATAATTGCCTAATGGAAGAGAATCAAGAGACTCAGAAATTTGTACCAGGTCCCCCGCAACTTCCTCCTTTGTACAAAGGACAGAAGATAAAAACAGTGAGTACGAAAGAATTACACACAATTGCAGATCTATTGCGATATAATAATTTCAATCCCTATTGTTAGGGACCGTATACCACTACGGTTACAGATGAAATGGTAGCACAGAGAGAAAGAGAGAACGAACAGTTGTACAGAGCTTGGCGCGAGCAACAACGAAGAAGAGAAATGGGGCCAGATGATGACGAGTCGGAATACATGGGTGACTTTAAAGATGATACAGTGAGAAGAAATTTCATTAGAAAAGTTTTCTGTATATTAACGGTTCAATTACTATTTACCTCTAGCGTCGTAGCGATTTTTCTGTTTGTGTAAGCACTATATTACTATAACAAATGTTTCAATAATATCAATAACATCGCTTCGATGGATTGAAGTTACGAAGCTACGTTTATTTCTAATAACTCTATTGCAGGGATGATGCGAGAAAATTTATGATACTTCATTGGTATTTGTGGATTGTAGCCATGTATGTAAATGTTGTTGCAAATAGTTTAAACGTATTACCTATTGAATGATTCGTAATTTTATTAGGATGTGCTTCGTGATCTCTTTCTGTGCTATATCTATGTCTGAGAGAGCTAGACGCAAATCACCTTACAATTACATATGGCTAACTAAATTGGTAAGGTTTTTGTTAAAATCTTGTCTAATTGGATGTCTTTGTCATTTAGATATCATTTTACGTTCGCTATTAAAAAATCACTGTTTCCAGACACTTTCCATGTCCTACTTAGCTGCCTTTGTATCGGTCTCTTTCGAGATTGAAATAATATTAATGGCATTGATTATGACAACGTTAGTTACATTTGGAATAGGTTTTATTGCAACGTTTTCTAAGGTACTTTTCAGTTACGACGTATCTTATATGACATACGAGATGACTGAAAAATCGTAAACAATGTGAATTATGTTACAGTTTGATTTAACAATGAGAACAGGATTGCTGATGATTGTCGGACTGGCTGCTGTTGTTTCAATTATTGTGATAATGATAGTCTTGCTATTTACGTACATAAAAGTATTACATCTAATAATTTCAGTTATAGGGATGATTTTATTATCAATGGTTAATATAAAATTAACGTATTATATTTTGAAAACATTATTTCATTTAAATAATAGCGTATTCTATTCTATTCGGAAAGAACGTTTAAAAAGTATTATCATCTGCTTTCTAGTATTTGTACTTTGACGTGCAAACGATCATGGGTGGAAGAAGAATAGAATTAAATCCGGATGAAGTTATATTTGCAACAGCTCAAATTTATGTTGACGTAGTACTGTTGTATCAGTATATATTAATGTTTATGGGTCTGATGCATCGATGAATATTGAGGACAAGTTACTACATACTATGTCATTAAGAAAGATCTATTCTCGTTATAACAATAATACTTTAAGTACTGATTTTAATATCAATAAATAAATGCATGAGATGTTATAAAATAGAATTGAAAACTACTTTCATTTCTATGTAAATTGATCGACTTGTTTATATGATATGTTTATATGATATTGGTTTTATATATACATATATATTATGCAATTACAGTACACAAATATTTCTTTACAATTATAATAATATTCGTGAATGATTTTCTCGAGATGTCATCGTCTCTTAAAAATGATCGTGTTTCTGTCATATTTGTTGCTAAGCAACCGTTTGACAACAAAACTCTAACCTATCAAACGTTGAAAAATTTTAGGAAACGTAGTAATTTTATGTAGATTAAGCGAGTTTAGTCTGTAAGTATCTTTTATATGTAACAAAGTAGGTATGAGTTACGTGACCAAATTATCGCCGTTTGTGTCAAATTTGCAAATCAAACGAAATAAATTTACACGGATGTTTTATACAGTGCATCATAATGAGAATCGAGGTCTTTTCTATGTAAAATTGGAAGAGAATTGTAAGATGTATTTAATTTGATAAATCATTAACATTATTATTATTATGTAATTACTGATATTATTTATATGTAAATTGTCTAATTCAGAAGATATTTCGATATGTCCTGCTATAGTAAATATTGCCATCCTCTAAGTTTCTGATATTATTCAAGTGCTGAAAAGGTAGTAGGAAAAAATGGAGCAAACTTGATTTTTATGCTGCCAATGTCGTCTAATGTTTTAAAATGTATTTATTTATATCTTTCATGTTTGACGACAAGCAAGAGCAGTGTTGCGGTACAAAGCAGAGGGAAAAGTCTTGGATATGCGAGCGATTAGTGTTCCATATAGATATACAGGAAGAGGTATAGCTCGATTGCTCACAGAGGTAAAATTTATTTTCAAATTTCCTACAACTTCGCACAAATAATCACTGTTCGTGTAAATTGTGCTTTCGGTTGTATTTTGATCCAACTCGATACAGATAATGTCTATATTTTCAGACAGCATTTACATATGTCATCGTGAATTATTTGTACATGTACTTGACATGCGAATACATGCAGAAGTATTATCTTGCAACTAAGAATCCAGATCTTGAAGAATATATCGTTGGACCACCGCATATTTTAGAGGGACCTGATTCAGAACCTTTGGATCCTGGCATTATAGATGAATTACCTGATCCGGAAGATTTTTTGATATATTCTTCCTAACAAACGTTGTTGTTACGATAATAACCACTGCAATTTTGAATAATTATCAAACTAAGCCTTGCCTGCCGACCGATGATCTAAAATTCATTATTACTTCTTACTACTACTAATAAAATGGAGGAAATAGAGTACATTACTTTAATCGAGTGGTTTTGCCATCAATTTTACTACAACGGCATGTTAGTCTATTGCAGAGAAGCATGCGAAGTCTATCCAACAAACGAATACTTGAGAATTCTTCTGAGCCTTGCGTACATACTGACTGGAAAGGTGCAAGAGGCGATCAAAGAAAGTTCAAGCTTGATGAATAATGCAGATACCACACTGGCAGCGTTGCTTCTCCAGAGTATTGCATATACGAAAGCCGAGAATGTTGAGAAAACCACTGTTATACAGATTGAAACGAGAATTAGAGACGAAAGGCGAAAATCATCTGCGAATGCATTATGTTTAGCAGCTTCAACGTTGCTTTTGTCTCAGAAAGTTGACAAGGCTAGAGATTACGTGGAGAGGGCTTACAAGTTTGATCCATCCGATAAAAATGTTTTGTTAACGAAAGGTTGGGTAGAATTGTTCGCTGTAAACGAGGAGAACTTGAGCGAGACCGACTTGTTTGATGTTGTTCTGCAACAAGATTCGAAGAACATAAATGCTTTGCTTGGATCTGCCAGGTACAAGCAACGGCGTGGTGATCACGCAGGAGCGATATTAACGTTGAATTCGTTAATCGTACGATATCCGAAATTATGTTTACCCTTGGTAGAAAAATTGTGCAATCAACTGTCGCTGAAAGATTGGGATCAAGTTCTCGAGACTGCTAATAGAATAATGTCAATCGACTCGAACAACTTGGACGCGATGAAAGCACACGCATTTGTAAATATTTGCAGAGATGGGAATTGCAACGAAGGACTGAAACATTTACAGTCATTTTTCAGAAATATGATAATCGTAGAAACAAAGAACGTCGCAGTTTTGGCGAACAATGTTCAATTATTTTCACGAATAGCTTGCAAACATCAAGGGATTTTATCGGAGCTGTCTAGGATCGTTGAAAAGGTATTGCAACAGAATGCGAAGAGTGCAGACCTCATGGTGGAATTAGGGAACTTGTACGTTTCGCTGGGCAAAGTGAAAGATGCGGAAAATTGGTACAGAAGCGCTGTTCGAATAAACGAGTCGTCGTTCGCCGCTCTGATGGGACTAGCTCATTGTCAGCTTTTAGACAGTTCGGTGGACGCCTTGGACTTGGCACAGCAGCAAATAGATTTTCTGCTGGAGATACAATCTAATTCGATGGATGCGGAGTTGCTTTTCATGTCTGCGAAATTAAAATCCAACGATTCCGTCAAAGTCCTGAATTATTTGAACAATGCAGCTACAATCATATTGAACAACTGTAAATATATAAACATACCATACGGTTACGATTATATGAAGAAACTAAATCCAGACTTGTGTTTAGAAATTTCCAAGCAACGTTTGCTTTATTCCGTTGCAAGTGACACGGCAAATTTGGAAGAAAAGTTGCAATCCAATTGCAAAGAGCCGAGTTTGTATTTGTTGGAGCAGTTATCAGAGGCGTATCCTGGCCTGAGTGTGGCGCAATTATTGCTGAGTAAAGCTAAAATGCAGAGTGGAGATTTAGAAGAAGCTTCGTCCATACTGAGAAATCTTCTAGACAGTGTTGATTCGTCCAATGCGAAAGCTCATTTGCTGATGGCTCAGATCCTAGCCCGCCAAGGGAATTACCAGTCTGCTTCGCAAAGTCTTGAAGTTGGTTTAAGTTACAATTTCAAGATCAGAGACAATCCAATTTATCACTTGATTACCGGTATGGTGCAAAAAGAAACGAACGATGTAGAGGGCTCGATAAAAAGCTTTCAGACAGCTGTGTCATTAGTAGAGACGCAATCGCGTAAAAGCACGTTGGAAAGCTTAGACGTTTCAACGTCGGACGTGGCAACTTTGTATCTGGAGTTAATTTCTGCTTTTGGGAAACTGAGACAGTTCGACGAGGCGATTAACGTGATACAAGATGCAAAGATAAAACTTAGAAACACCTCGGAGGAAGGTAGACTGTCGATAGGAAATGCGGAGCTTTTCCTAGAAATGGGAGAGTTGGATGGTGCCATTGACTGCTTGTCTAAAGTAACTCCGGATCAACCTTATTACTTGCAAGCGCACACACGTTTGGCCGAGATAAATTTGAAACACAAGAAGGATCGTCTTGCTTTCGCTATGTGTTTCAGGTCTGCTTCTCACTGCATTTATACGCATTTATTTTCCTATGATATATATCCTCTTATTCGATCTTAATCGAAAACTTTCACTTTGTACAGAGAGCTGGTTGAACACTGTCCCGGCCCCAAGACATACAGTATGCTTGGCGACGCGTATGTCTCTATACAAGAGCCAGAGAGGGCAATAGAAGCGTATGAGCAAGCTCTGAAACAAAATCCCGCGAACAAAGTATACATAGCAAGTAAGCTAGGAAAGGCACTTGTAAAAACGCATCAGTACACAAAAGCCATCAATTATTACAGAGATGTGATGAAACAAGACAACTTTAAAAGCTTAAAGTTGGACTTTGCAAAGTTATTCATAAAAATGAAGCAGTACGATAAAGCAGAAGTTACCCTGGTCCAAGAATTGCAAGGTAGAAATTATTGTAAACGCATGATGTAATAATTTAAACGTAGTTCTTCTTTCCATTTAACTTTATTAATATGATAATTTTTGATCGTTGACCACAGACGGTCGACGTGATTCAGATCTGAAGAGCTTAGAAGTGCGTAGCCAGCTTTTGCTGTTGCTCGCCAAAACTCGAGAAAAGGCGGACAATGTTAAGGGCGCTTTGTCAGCATTGAAAGAAGCAAAGGAGAACCAGCACAGATACATCCAACGCATGGGAAGCTCCAACTTGGAAGATGAAAAACAACTTTTGGCCGATATCTGTTTAACAATGGCCGATCACTCCTCTTCCCTGAGAGAATACGATCAAGCTATTACGTACTACAAGGAAGCATTGAATTACAAGCCTGCGAATGTAAATGCTCTGTTATCCTTGGCAAAACTTTACATGCAGGTGAATCAAAGTTATAATTACGGTAATTTATCCACTCGTCATTTACGCGTCAAATTAATACCACTGTAAACCGATAGACGAACAATTTGGATCGATGCGCGCAAAGTTGTACAGCATTGTTGAACGCAGATCCCAACAACGAAGCCGCTTCCATAATGATGGCTGATCTTGCATTCAGAAAAGTCGACTTTGACACGGCGGCGTTTCACTTTCGGCAGCTGCTGTTGAAGCAGCCAACCTACTGGACCGCTTTAGCAAGATTGATAGAGGTCTCCCGTAGAACTGGTAAACGTGATGTAAAAATTTTTAATCTCTCTCAAATTGTAACTCCCCGACTGACACACTTATGACATACAACATAAATATTTAGGGGATATGGACGACCTCCGGGAATGGCTTCATCGACCAGAGCTAGGAACGAGCGATGCAAATTTAACACCTGGCTATTACTATTGCGCGGGCTTGTTAGATTGGCGTATGGGTCGATTGAATTCTGCGCTTCGTCAGTTTAACTTTGCGAGACGCGATCCTGAATGGGGTCAACAGGCGATATACAATATGATCGAGATTTGTTTAGACCCGGATGACGACTCCTCCCTCTCGAATGAGGTCTTCAGCGATGACGATGCTGAGTACCAAGATTCCAGAACGATGGCTCTGAAAACAGCCTTCCGCTTGTTACAGGTACTGAACTCGAGAAGCACAAAAAGAAACAGAACATGGCGCGCCTGCGTCTAATCTTAAATTTACTTGAAAACTTTAAAGACTCTCTATGCTGTCTAAAGACAAGTTATTTTTTTTTTTTTTGTCATTGTTGTAGGAATTGAATCCTAAAGGTAGCCAACACGAAATGTTGACGCACAGATTGCTAAGCAATTTCTTCTTGCTTGCTACGAAGCAAAAATCCAATGTAGAGAAAGCATTGCAGGATTGCACCGTACTAGCCAGTCAAGAGGCACTGAGAGATCACGTAGGGCCGGCCTTAGGCATGGCTATGGCCCACGTACTTCTGAAGCAAACTCCCAGAGCTCGAAATCATCTGAAACGTGTCAGTAAGAACACGTGGACCTTCGAGGATGCAGAGTACCTGGAACGTTGCTGGTTGCTTTTAGCGGATATCTATGTCCAATCCAATAAATACGACTTGGCAAACGATCTTCTAAGACGCGTTTTGCAGCACAACGCCACTTGCGTTAGAGCTCACGAACTGTCTGGATACATTGCAGAAAAGGAGCAAAATTACCGCGAGGCTGCATCGCAATACAGCCAAGCATGGAAGTACGGTGGAAAGGCAAAATTGTCTGTCGCTTATAAATTAGCTTATTGCTCGATGAAAGCGAAAGCATACGCAGACGGGATAGAAGCCTGTAACGAGGTCTTGAAGCAAAGTCCCGACTATCCACGTATTAAAAAGGAGATCTTGGAAAAGTGTATCAATAACTTACGCACCTAATAAACAATTATATCATGTTCCATGAATGTAAACTATGTCTTTAGTCATTTTTTTTTTTTTT